GTACATATAGTTTAATGACTCTTTTGACTTCAAGTAAAAATATGTTGTAATGGTCTTCAACAGTATTGCATCCAGTGAATAGAGATTGCCAATCAAGAGATGAGAGATCGTTGTTATGATGATTTTTGTGTGGGCGTATGTTGAGACAAAAGTCAATCATATTGTAGTCATTGTTGGAAAAGAGTTCTTTAGTTTGTATTCCGTAAATTAAACTCAAACTATTGCAGAAGATGAGATCGAGGCAGTTGTTAAGTCTAGTATTGTTGGTTACTAGTTGTTCCAGTCCCAGATTTGTAACAGCATTGTAGAAGGTTGCATGCATGTTTTCAGTTGTACATTCGTTTAGGGTCCAGTTAATATGATTACTGGCAGGTTTCCCCCAAAATATTATCTGAGTAGTTTAATTTCCTGTCATTCACATCTGGGAAAATTGCAAGCAGCCCATGAGAGGGAGAGTAAAAGCAGAATGGTCTTAGGATCCAATCTTAGTCGGTTACTAGGACCAAAAAATGATTCTTCCAAGATTTTGGGCTCATACTAGAGCCCATCATCAGGGAACTTCTCCCTCTCCAGAAAACGTGCACTGGGCTATTCTACACATTGTATTTATATGGTTTGTGTTTGTGTATACCTTTTGGTTGTTAATTAGGGTGTTGATGTTCTTAACTTATTTCACTGTTGGGGCAGATAAGTAATAAGAATGTGATTTGACAAAGGGGAGATGTTCCTCCAAGAGGGTATCTTTTTCAGGACCTCCTCAAACTCTGTGGCACTTTCATATGTAGGTCTTGAAGTACCTAATTTGTTATGCACCATGGAAGAAGCCATCATGAAACTGGTAAACACTAATAGATAGTTGAAAGTCCCAACATGCTTCAGACTTCAGTTTCTATCTATCCCAACTGAAATAGCCAGTGCCTTATGGAGTTTTAGTCCAAAACCTCTGGAGGACAACCAACATCCTCATCACTCTCTGTTCTGGAAATAGAAACTGATGTGTAGTATAATTACCTTAATTTTAATTTACAATAACTTCTTTCATTTTCTTATATTTTGGTGGACAGAGCTGATTTACTTTAGCTGTTGGATGGCAATCATATGTTGAAAATGACAAGCTTCACTTTAGAAGGCAGAGCTAAAGCTAAGGAACAGCTGTATAAAGAAATTGAGGTGTCTTGCTAAACATGAGAAGTTACACATGCTGTGCAAATAGTTGAAGTTCAATAGCACGGTGAGGTTTAGGGTGTGGTTAGTTTGAGAAATCGAACTTTGTGTATCCCAATATTGAAAATATAATACCCCCTATCTATTATTGTATGGACCTTAAGGCCTAGAAAAAGGTGCACATTTCCGTAAGACATTCTGTCTCTTTGCTTCCTTGGTGCTGCTAGTAAACACTATGCTATGAGGTACCTAACATGCTAGTTTGTACAGGAAATGGAAGTTCAATGAACCCTACTAAATATTTAGCTTTCTGTTTGCTTTTGTCAAATTAATTTACAGATAAGAGGCCACCATAGCAGTCTCAATACCTTGTGGACTGACATGGTGTCATTTTAGTAAATTGTCTTTCACCTTAAGTGCAGATCAATAAAAGCAAACGGTTCAAGAGATCCACAAAATAAGGAGACAAAGTGCTATAATTTTCCCCCAAATATTACTGTATGGCTTAGATCCAATGGCTTAGATTCTGCTGAAACTAACCAAAATACATATTTCCTTGGTTATTTAGCAGCACCTGAATATATGACAATTCCATCATTACTGGGATCAATTGGAAATAATAAAGCCAACTTTTGAAATCTACTGCATCCTCTTTTTTTCAAATTGATAGAAACTATCACCCTTGTCATCATCTCTTCCTCCTCTTCCATAAAAAAAACCCGGCAAAAAAGAAGAAAAAGAAACAGCACCAGAGCTTTCTCCAGAGAGCTAAACTGTCAAAATGATGGCTCTGATAGTTGATCAAAGCTCCTCTGTTCGTTTATGTGCAACAGATTTAGCGTTTATTAACAGAGGTAAGGTAGCTGCTTTTCTATTAATACATAATCCTTAAAAGTGACCCTGCCATGGTCTAATTCAGACTGGAAATATAGCAAAGGAAAATATTTTCCCCCCACTCTGCTTTGTCCTGTTTTCCCCACAGGAAATGGCTGTTTGCAACACATAAGGAGGGAATACTTTCCCAAGAGCTCACAATTCAAGAATACCAGTGAGCCATTCGTTAACTGCACATGAAGTATCTCAGTGTGGGGAAGACTATGCAGGGGCCTAGTGATAGAACAGGCCTTCAAGGCCTTCCCGACCCACTAAGATACCTCATGCTTCTCCCTCCCTTCCTGTCACACTGGACTCACCTTGCAAAGATCTGTCTCCTCTCTGCTGCTGTTTCTTTGCTTTTGAGGGAAGGAGATGAGAGTTGGCTTGGAAATGCTTTTTGTGTCAAGAATGGATGTTCTTGCATGCCATAATATCGTGCAGGTTCAGGGACCCATCCTCTTTTGCAGAGAGACATGGACCCAAAAACTTCATTCTCAGCATGAAAAGTGTTTGCGGTGCAGGTTTCCTGCATCTCCCCCCCAAACTACTTTCCACCACCACTGTGGCAGGGATGCTTCCTGCCCACTAAAATTCACTGTGATAGAGCTACTTCAACAACCCATCCCATGGCCGGAACCGGGAAGGTCACCATGGAATTGCCCAACACAAGGACCAACACTGTCTGTGGCCCAGGTGTGCTGCTCTTCTCGTGTGCACAGGCTGTATTGTTTTAATGTGCCTCTCACACTGTCAGGTTTCTAAGTGATGAAATCCATTTAAAAAGAAAAATACAAAGTCCATCTTCAAAAAAGATTTCTTTTATTTAGGAAGGCATCAAATCGGCAAAGTCCATGGTAATTCCAGATCTGACACAACCCAGAATTACCTCACAATATTACAAGTTAGAAACAACCCCGAAAAGTCACATTCTCCAATAGAAATAATTCAACGATGCTTGATGTCATAAATCTCCACCTCAAGGGGCCCAAGCAATGACAGCTCGTTTCCCATGGGAAGGAAGATCACCTAGCCAAAACACTCTCTTTATCTCCACTCCTCCCCCCTTAGGAATGTGGTAAGCCCGAAACTCTTTCCCCCATGACTGCCACAGAGAAAGTAAGGAAAAGAATATATATTAAGCCTAACTAAAATGGCTACACATATGTCAATTTCGGGCTTGACAGGCTGCCCTCCCTTATTCGAAAAGAAATCCCTGCAATGACATAAAATACACAAAGATTGAAATTAGGTTAAACACAATCATACAATGCACATTTTAACCTCCTCTGCCACCTACAGAATTCAGTTTTGGCTTGTGTGGATATTTTTCATGGAATTTCCCCACCAATCTATCAGCATTTACTTTCCAGCTATAAATCCAACTTGCTTGTGAAATTGGATAGCCTTTTCAATAAATTTAAATATTGTAACCTCCCCCTGAAAATCCTAGCATCCAAAATTTTCTTAACTTCATAATGTTCATGCCCTGCAATAACTAAAGGCTTTGGGGGTGCATGTTCTGCTGGCCTCAAGGAAGAATCAACAACCGGCTTTAATAAACTACTATGAAACATCGGATGTACCTTCCCCAATAACCTAGGGAGATTTAGTTTTCCAGTTACTGGGTTTATTACTTTAATTATCTGAAAAGACCCTATAAATTTTGGACTTAATTTTCGAGAAGGTAAATGAAACTTTAAATATTTAGTTGACAAATAAACTATCCCCCACTTTAAATTGTGGCTGCTGGGAAGGTGTTTGTCAGCTTGTATTTTTTGGATTTGTGCTGCCTTTTTTGTGTTTTCCCATGAGTCTTTAATTGCATCCATCCACTCAGTTACTGACATGGATTGGGGGTGGGGGGGGAGTCCCTTGGCAATTCAGGCATGGGAACGAACTCCATCCCAGTATTGATTTGAAAAGGTGTTAACCCAGTACTACTATGTACAGCATTATTATAAGCAACCTCTGCAAATCAGCCCAATTGGTTTGTTGATAATTTACATAACATCTCAAATATTGTTCAATAATTTGGTTAGTTTTCTCAGCCAGTCTGTTGGTCTGCGTGTGGAAACCTGAACTCAGACCTTGAGAGGATCCAATTGCTTCTATGAATTCCCTCCAGAATTTTGCAGTAAACTGAACCCCTCTATCTGAAATGATTCTGTGAGGCACTCCAAGCAATCTATATATATGATTCACAAACATTTTGGATAATTTCCTGGCTTTGTATGGAATAAAATGGAATAAAAACCTTTGCATGGAATAAAATGAGCTTGTTTGGAAAATAAATCAACTGCAGTCCAAATTACGGTGTGCCCTCCACTGTCAGGTAAATCTACTATAAAATCCATCCCTATCTCCTCCCAGGAATGGGATGGGTCTGCAACAGATTGTAATAATCCTGGAGGTTTTCCTGGTCTGGTTTTCCTTGTGGCACAAGTGGCACAACTCTTTACATAATCCTCAATGTCTTGCTTCATTTTTGGCCACCAAAACTGGCATCTGACCATGTGTAGGGTTTTTAAATATCCAAAATGTCCTGCTTATTTTGAGTCATGGCTTTGACTCATGAAGACGTAAAGTTTTAGGGACATATAGTTTAGAACCCTTCCATGCTACCCACTCCCGCATAGTTAATAAATCCTTATGTTCTTGATACCAAGTGTCTGTTGCTAATTCATTTTGCAGCTTCTTGGTCATTTCTGATTTGTCTTTGATTTTTTGGCTTTGTGCCCGTGTGATTACTTGAACTGTCTCTTGAGAGGATGGTGGAATGATTGGGTGAAATACTTCTCTTACTGTCAAATTGGGGCTTCCTAGACAATTCGTCTCCTAGTAGATTTTTTTTCCCCGGAAGGTACTTCAATTGGAAATTGAACATTTTGAAGTATTGAACCCATCTAACTTGTTTAGGAGAGAGTTTCCTGGGTGTTTTTAGAGCTTCTAAGTTTTTTATGGTCTGTCCACACTTCGAACGGAATGTCACTGCCCTCTAAAAATTGTCTCCAAGTTTGTAAAGCCCAACGAACTGCATAAGCTTCTTTTTCCCATACAGCCCACCTTCTTTCAGTGTCTGTGAGTTTTTTGGACGTATATGCACAGGGTTGCAGATTTCCATTATCATTTTTCTGGAGTAGAACTGGTGGCACTGCTATGTCGCTAGCGTCTGCTTGCACTATAAAAGGCAAAGCTGGGTAAGGATGTTTTAGAATGGGTTCCTGTGTGAAATGCCTTTTTAACAATTCAAAAGCTTTTTGGCATTCTAGAGTCCATTTAAGGGGCTGTCCAGGTTTTGCCTTTTATAGTGGCCCCATAGTGCCTCATTGCTTTATTCACAGCCTTCAAACAGTAAGGCTGGCATACACAAGCAAGCAGCACACCTGGGCTATGGACAGCATTGGTTCCTGCACCCAGCCAATTCTGATTCCACAGGTGGCCTTAATGTCTGAGGAACTAAGTCTTCAATTGAGTGAGGAAGCACTGTGGGACCAGGCCCCTCACACCCTTGTCCAGCCTACCGGAGTTTGCCATGCCAAGGGAGGAATGAGATCCCATTGTCCTACATGGCTGCATGCAAATGGGCCATCTGCATGCAAATGGGGCACTTGGAGCAATCTTTGAAGGCATGCCTGATGCTGCGCCTTCGCTCTCTTCAGCTCAGACGCAGTTGGGGCACCCAAATTGCTGGTGGCAGCAGCCACTTGAGCAGCCATGATCCCCCTTCCCCAGCCAGCCAGCACCACCTGACCTACTCCCTGCCTGGCCAACCAGGTGGTGAGAAGCCTTGCTGCTCTTCTCCTCTCCTCATCCTCCTTGCTCAAATGGCGGTGTGCTCCATTGAACAATGAGGTCTCATTTCTCCCCTGGTGCAGCAAGTTCTGGCAGATTGGATGTGGGTGTGAGGGGCCTGGCCCCATGGTGCTGCCTCACTCAGTTGAAGGCTTCATTCTGGCACTCAAACAATAAAGCCACCATGGAATCGGAATTGGACAGGGGAAGTGTTACGGACTAAGCAAACGTACTGTTTTAAAATCCTAATAGTTTTACTTCTACGGCAGGTTCGTAATCCTACACTTCTGATTGGCCCGCGAACAGTGGATCCTGATTGGTCAATTCTGGCCGATCTGATTGGCTGTTAACGGGCGCCGCTGATTGGCCTTTCCCAGCGCGGCAAACTCAAAAGCATTGGTTGTTGTGACAGCAGCCAGCCCTATAAAAGGGCTGCTGCTGCCCAAGTATTTTGCTCTGTTCTGAAG